TACTCCAAAAAGGATTCCCAAGCATTTTCTTTAATATATCTTATCAGAGTTATCGCAGAATCCATATTCTCAATGCCAGTATTTTCGTGTGGAAATGCGAGCGCCCTTTTCCTGGCAACATGTTTGTGTTGCAACATGAGAATAAAATTTGAAATTCAAATCAATCAATCAAACATCCATCAGGATCAGCTTTTTTCCAAAAATGACTGTAGAAACGGACTTGGTCACTCTTTCTCGCCATGTCATTCATGAGCAATCTCATCACAAGGAGGCCAGTGGCGATCTTACCCTGCTGCTAATGAGCATCCAGGTTGCAACAAAAGTGATTTCAACTAATGTGAGAAAGGCCGGAATAGTCAATTTGTACCGGCAATATGCTAATGCACTAGAACCGGAATTGCTGCAGGAAAGAAAGAAAACATTCAAGGTGAGGTGGTGAAAAAGCTCGACATCATATCGAACGAAGTCTTTATTAATTGTATCTCTTCCTCTGGGAAAGTAAGCATAATGGTTTCCGAGGAAAACCAAGACGCAATTATTGTATCTTCATCAGGCACGGCAAAATATGCCGTTGTATTTGATCCTTTGGATGGCTCTTCAAACATTGATGCCGGTGTTTCAATCGGATCGATTTTTGGAATATATCGATTAGTAATTTTAGACTCGGCTTATCACTAGGGGTCAACAAATTCTCACTCAATTTCTGAAGTGCTACGTACAGGCTCAGAGATGATTGCCGCTGGATATGCAATGTATGGCAGCTATACATCTCTGGTCATTACAATTGGAGGTGTGGGCGGAAATGTTCATGGATATACACTGGACAATTCCATTGGAGAGTATATCCTTACACATCCAAACATTAAAATTCCTCCAAAGGGAAGCATATATTCGGTAAATGAAGGAAACAGTGCATTTTGGGACGCCTCGACCAAAAGATATTTTGAAAAATTGAAGACGCTCGATAAGCCATACTCTTCCAGATACGTCGGAAGTATGGTTGCTGACGTTCACAGAACCCTTTTATATGGCGGGATTTTTGCATATCCTGCTGATTCCAAAAGCAAAAGCGGAAAGCTCAGACTATTGTATGAATGCTTTCCGATGGCAATGATCTGTGAAAATGCTGGAGGTCGCGCCACAACGGGAAAGAAAAGAATTTTGGATATTATCCCGACATCTCTGCACGCAAGAGCCCCAATAGTCCTGGGATCTATCGAAGATGTCTTAGAATATGAATATGAATTGCAAAATGGCCAATAAACGCCATCAAACTTTCAAAGAAAAGAATAAAATTAAATTAAATCACGGGCCACATTGGCTGCCGCGTTAAATATTTCAAGGATTAGGGTTGGTCATGTTCCCAGCAAAAATTTTACCAATTAGGATAGATATCCCTGCAAGTTAGCATTATCCCTCTTATGGGCCCTTCTGACCATGTCTTTGATGCTCCCAGCATCCCAAAAAACCCGTGGAAAAAGCTACTTTACCTGCGACAGGAAGAATATCCCGACAATTATGTCGATCATTCCTTTTTAGAGAAGCTGCAGAAAAACGGTATGCATCATTACTAATGTCAAGTAAATGTGCGAAGATACTCTTACATTCCCCTGATTATCTATCCATGTCATTTGATTATACATGCCAACATAATTCTTCTTTTTGTTGGCCTCTTTATCTTTCTATACTCAGAGATGATAAAAAACAATCTTTTGCTCCTTTTTTTTAATCACGGGGCTGCCCTTGCCGGATTCATCTTCTGGAGCCTTCTTGATGTGGCTTCGGTATCTCCAGCTTTCACCAATATCTGTTCACCATCCTTTTGGTGCCATATAAACCTTGTGCATTCGTTTAACTGCTTCAAGCGGTCTTTTTTATTCTTTTTTATCTTGTTGGGCTTATCTCCGATCTTGAAAACACTTACAAAAGATACAAGCTGCGATACCATTTGGGCAGTGTCGACAATTTTGTTTTTAATTAACCTTGGGTTTCATGACCACTCATTTGCATCTATTGACCGGTGAGCTTTAGTTTTTGCCAATCCTCAGGAAATCCGAAAGCATGATAGCATTGAACGCAGGGATTTTTGCTTCTGCACTCCTGGCATCTCGCCTCAAATCAAACGACCAGGTTTTTGGTCTTGTTTCCAGTGCCGTATTGTTATTTGCCTTGATTCCAAGGCTATTGCGCATGGTTCGCGTATGTTATTACTTTTAACGAAATAGAACTCCGCTTCCAACTTTCTATTCTTAAAGCTCACACTTTTGCAGTCGCTTGTGATATTTTACTTTTTCTTTTCATTCATATCTGCATTTGTGGCCTGGATTTTATTGATAAGCACGGTTCTGATCATCTTTGTGGTTCCGCTTATTTTTCTCCAGCTCCAAAAGTACAAAAAGTATTTTCTATTCTTTGTAATTTCAGTAAAATTCACGGTCCTTGGGACGAGGCCAAAGTGTCCTCGTTTAGCCTTAAAAACTCACCTGAGGTCCCGCGCGATCAACTCAGGCTTTGGAGCCAGAGCGAACAATCCCTTTTAGTGCCGCCTGCTGCCCGGAACAAGTTGTTACAATAAATTGGAAAATTAGCGTGGCACCTTTGAGACAATTTATTTATGCTTGAAGCAGCCGATAAGATTCGGAAAGGTTCTCTATCATGTCCGAAGCGAGCATCGATTGAGCTCTCTTCTGAAAGGCGAGAGATGCACACGTTCGCACTAATAGGCTTGCCGTAACTATTCCAGAGCCAATATGCAAAGGAGAGCGGGGTACAGAGGTCAAACTTGAAGAAAACACCCATGCACAGAAAGTTCCGAGGACCCCAGAAAGTATATCACCTTGGCCCCCACATCGACGAATAGAGCCCATTTCTCCGCATATTGTCACGTGGAAATCTTGATCCGATATGAGGATATCTTTCTCTCCTTTGCAGAGGATGTAGAAATTTGGGCCCAACCTTTTTCCAAGTTGAAGAGGATCCTCAAGCTCAAACTATCGATGAAATATCATTTCCTCACTTCTTCCAAGAGATGCTCAAGCTCTCTGCTATTTGGGGTCAAAATTATATCGCCAAATGTAGATGCCAACTCCAAGTATTTTTCCTTCACAATAAACAAAGCATCAGCATCAATAACAAGAGGGATTTTACGTTTTTTGCAGCACTCCAGTAGCAGAACTAGATTCGCAAGAGAAGTCTGCGAGCGTGTAAGTCCGGGGCCAACAATAAGCGCATCAAACCTGGACGAAAATTTGTGGAATTCATGCAGCTTTCCTTTCGAGATTTTTTCATCGCTAGGAAGTAAAGGAATTGTAATGATATCGGGCGATGAAGCTTTAATTGCGGCAGATGCGCTAGCAGAAGTGAATAAATATACAAGATCGGCACCCTAAAAATAATACCAGCGCCAAACAAACGCTTCTCAGACTTGCAATCGCTGCAAAGTAGGCAGCCCCTGAGTATCTTTACTAATTGAAATCTTCAATTTTACATATCGCTTCCGGCTATAATTCCAATCCTATGAGGGTACTTTCTGTAGACAGTACCTTCCACACTCCCCCTTTTTAGTAGTCCTCCTTGAGGAATATGGGAAAATATTGGAAAGGAAATGGCGGACGTACGTTTGAATATTTCTATCGCCAATCATTGACATCAAAGGGAAAATTGGAAGCAGCTCTTAAACTAGATGCAATTTAATAAATTTTGGCAGCGTCACACGAAAAGTTTAATCAATTAAGTAATTAATTAATTAATTGGTTATTCGGTTAGTTGGGATCAATTTTTGTAAGTTGCTTTAACACGTTGGGGGCGATTGATGCCTAATGGCAAGATGGGTATCTTGGGAATCATACAGTTCGCCCAACAACCGGTAAACGTATGTCGGTGTGTGTCCGCCGCTAGGGTTATTTTACATGGTGCTTACACATTAGTCAAGAAAAGAGAAACCATAGATGGATCTACATAGTCGTAATAGGGCGATATCGTGGTAACGTTGCTCAGGATATCGTCTTCGTACTTTGATAAGAGACTAGGATTTCCTGGGCAGGACAGCAGGTCAATATCGGAAGGGAAGAGTGGGGATAGCTTATAGATGCCAGATACCACGATCACAGGGATCGAATTGTAGAGGGCAGATGTAGCTATAAGCTGGGATCCAGATATGGCAATCAGGCCCCCATTAGCAAGAACTAAAGAATTAGCGGGCAGACGAACTGGCATGGCACCCAAGCAAAATTTTTGTAACCCTTGAAATCACCGTTCCCACAGAAGCAAGGTTAATTACCGTAAGGTCAATGCCTGTTTTCAACAACTCTGGAGACACCACTTTTTCTCCTCGCCTAAAAAATAGCGCATGCAAAATGCTACAATAGGTTTGTCTCCACAACGATGACCTCGAAGGTTTTCTTTTTTGAAGCGGTGACGAGAAATTCATTTACAGTCCGACTTTTTCCAATCGTCAAAATGACATCGCTAAAGGGATAGAACAGCGATAACGTACCCATTGTTAATATGGTCATAGGCATGGGCCTCGATCTGCTTAATTGAATTTTCAATCTCGTCAATAAGCTCATTGACGCCTTGAAAAAGAATTTGCTTCAATTCATATTTTGACCGTTCGAGATTCGCGATTTCAGTACCTGCCTGGCGAGTGGGAGTTGCCAGCAAGTTAAACATAGAGGAATCGCCGGCATGCCAGTGTCCAAGCATCTCTAATGAGGGCGAAGGCGAGAATAAAGGCTTGTCTGTCATCATCATTGCCATCATTGGATGTTCTATATTTGATTGAGTCTCCTGTGTCGAATCGGATGGAAACCCTTTGTATTCCTCTCGTATAAGACGAAGAATTCTTCTAATGATATTGCCAATTGAAATTCCTAAACCAGTAAGCATGCATGTATCTGTGCCTGATGGTTGCGCCAGCGCAAAGACCCCCCCTAGATGGCAAAGCAGGGAAATTAGAGAATGGGCATTTGCCCATTTGGAGGACGAAATAAGGCTTCTAATTATAAACGCAGTTTCGAGAGCAGATTGTGTTGAGCCGGTCAATCCCCTGCAAAAATAAGCAAAAATGCAAACCCTTTTTTCAGCTTTGAAATAAAAAGCTCAAGCATGGTGAGCTCTTTAGCCGGGATATTGGGGAGAATGGGTTCTTGATGCATTCTTCGGAAAAGTTAAATTTAAATTTTAATCTTTGCGGCTGTTTATCTTTCATGTATCAAAGCCTTTTTTGAAGTCCTATTTATAAGGCGCCAGCGATAAAGCGATGCTATGGTATCCAGAATTTTCCTAGTTCTCCTTATCGGTATTTTTCTAAGTGGAGCAAGATGCCAAAACCAAACCATTTACCAAGCGCTCAAATCTCTTTCTAATGACACATCCCTTTCCTTCAATGTCACAGGTGGCGAAGAAACAAACGCGAACGCATCATCTGTCTCGATGTTCTATTTACTTGTTGATGCATCGCCTTCTGTTAAATCTCTTCTTGATTCCAATACTTCGGATCTTGTTCTATTTGCCCCAATTAATTATGCCTTTACAAGCATTGGAACTAATGTTACCTCGAATCTTTCCGAGATACCAATTCCGATTGGAGCAAATTCTACGGAAAAGCCCGTGACATTTCCTATTCAAAATATTACCGAGGCACATGTCTATAGAGCATCCAATCAATCCTATCCTCCTCTCAAAGAGGAGTCGCCTTCATTGATGAACTTTACTGGATTGCTTGCGCTTGATCTTGCAAGTCCAAACTCTTCCAAGAGCATTGTGGTAGTTAATGCTACAAACTCATCCTTTTACCTCTCCTTTTCTGGCGTTAGCACGCCCTCAAAGTTGCTTTCCAATCGAACAGGGAATACTTCATCCCCTCTTCCATACTATGTTACCTGCACGAATGGAATTATCGTTTTCGTTAAAAACATTATTACTCCTCAGATCCCCTTAAATGCAACTACCATTGGCAAGATTTTAGGCAATCCAGCCCAGTCTAATGTATCGACGCCCAACTCGACACTATCAGCACCCAACTCGACAGCCCCAATGCCCAACTCGACAGCCCCAATGCCCAATTCAACAATATCAATACCCAATTTGATGGCTTTACAGGCTAACGCAACGGCTCCAGCACCGAACGCAACGGCCCAAGCTCCTATCAATGAAATTTCTCAGTTTTTATTTGCCTTGAAAAATTCTAGCTTAATCTCCAATCTTTCAATATCGCCTGTAGCCATTTTTGCGGTTTCTGATTCTGCAAGCTCTTCAACCTCATATAATGATTCGGTCCTTAGCAATCAGATTTTTAAAAGTGCTCAAAACAGCTCTGATCTTATTATTTCATCGCCTCTCTTGTTCAATATCGCCTCTAACTCGAGCAATGTAACCCTGATATCGTTGAGCGGACTTCCTTTGAACATTTCCATGAGCACCATGAAAAATTCATCACAACCAACTAGCATTTCTCAACTGTTATTCAACCAGACTGTCACCGTTCTTTGTGCAGATCTCCTTTTCCAAAACTCGACCATCTTCATCGTCGATAAGCCTTTTCTGTCTGCTCCTATTAGCAACAGCTCTTCTGGAATTAATCCTATCAGACCAAAATCGCCAATCGGTCATCCAATCTGAAATGTTAGCAAATAAAATCTTGCACTTTTAAATAAATTTGTTGTGCATTTTCAATCAGCCATCATGGCATGCCATTGCGGGTACTCCAAAAAAATTTATTAACTTAAAATGCAAGTAAATAAATCGGGATGTTTAATTTTCGAGGCCTCGAAATATAATGGAAATTCAATGATCTCACTAAATCCTTCATCTAGGGTGGGCATTTCGAGATCCAAGCTTGGAAGGAGGGTTTTCCGCCGTGGGAAGCCCGATGTTCCTTTGATCAACTACAGAAAAGCAATTTCAACTACCCTATTGTATGTAAAAATATTGGAGCAAATTTCTGCAGGTGTCATAATGACAACAGCGCAAATGTTTCGACCCAAACTCTTCAAATTCTTTAGAAAAAGCTTTCTGCGGATTTTTAGCGAAAAATTACCATCTAAAAGATATTGAGACGTAATATCCACCTATAATAATATTCCTGTCCTTTGGAGCGGTGATCCCTTTTATAAAATTCGATTGGGAGCAACTGCCATCCTAGTGCACAAAATAAATACATTGATGCATACAAAGCAATAGTAGGCATATTTAGAGAAATACTCTTTTGCAATGAATGTCTTTCCAGAAGATTTCCTCCCAATTACCAGCAAAACAGAATTGCTGCCTGTCAAAAGACTAGGGGTGTATTTAGGAGTATATGAAATTATGGAATCAAGAGAGCTTTTGAGGGAGAGCATTTTTTCCCTCAGCGAAGAAGAAAATACCGTTGGCGTTACAAATAGAAAGTATTCGTTCGGAACATAGAATGGAATGCCAATGTTGATCGAAAAAAGCCTAAATACAAGCAAAAAATGAATACAAATCACAGCTAGAATGATCGGAGACGGAATATTCGGATGCTGCCCTTCCCGCAGCATCGCCAACAAAAAAGCAAGACTCCAAACAGAGCGTATTTATGTGTCGATCTGGCGAGGCTAAATCATCAGCGGGAAGCTTTAAAACGTTGTTCAAATAATAGTGCCAGAGCCCCGTGCGAGGCTTTCTAAAGTTGTCATTCTTGAGGGCGGCAAGAATGCAGATCGGTAAATTTAACTAGAAAATATGCAGAAATGAATATACCTCATCAATCAATGAAGAAGCTTTTTCTCTGAACCAATCTAAA